AATTGTTGAAAAATATGTTATACAAATATATAAGTCATCCAACCATGTTTAAAAAATAATCACAGCATAAGGTTTACTATTTCTTTTGAATTTAGACTCTACTGCGTCAATGAAGAGTTGTTAAAAAATAGATTCAGGAGTCACAGCTTCAGAAAAAGATGCAAAATTGAAATCATTTTGTCCGATGAGCAAGTAGAGCCCTTGCTGTGCAGTCAAAAGGACTGTTCAAAAAAGGCTGAGATGCGATTTGCTTTGGGCAACATGGATACTACCTCAGAAGTACTGATATCCAGCACCATCGTAAGTACCTTGAACAGGAGGCTATGGAATAAAATAATTTCGGATTTAGAAAATTGTTCTTTTTGCCTCAAGACAAAGTTCATTATGATGCTCTTGATAGACTGCGCTTTAGTTGACGAAATGGAAATACTTATATCAAGATTTTGAACATCGTTCAAGTCATTTCATTGGAAAGTTACGTAGGAAAACCTGCCGTGCTAGCATACCGATTGTAATGCTTAGAGGCCTTAAAAGATCGCTGACACAAATTGTTGCCAATTAATTGACAGTGCCTTAAACATCAGGATCTGATATGAAATATTTAATTCATAGAACTGTAGTAACAGCTACAGAAATAGGTTTAACTATAAGAGACTCTGTTTCAGATATGGGGAGCAGTAACAGAGCAATGTGGTCTTCATTTGATGTCTCTGTCTCTAGGACAGATAGGAAGACAAATTACAACATTGGAGGTCCTGATGTTTTCATTCACAGTACTGCAGATGTACCACATCTGATTAAAAATAGGAGAAATCCATTTCTTTCAAGTATTCTAATATTTCCAGAGGAATTTCGCCAGCAACATGGCTTGCCATCCAGGATAGTATCTTCAGTGTATGTGAAACAACTCTGTTCAAGTGAGATAGAATCAGATGCTGCCCTGAGATCCCTACATCACCTGAACCGAATTCATCTCTTCCCAACACACTTTTCTTCGATGAATGTGGCATCTGCTGTGCAATTGTTTTCTGTAAAAACAGCAGCTGCTATTGAAAAAGCAGTTATTTTACAAGTTGCAGAAGAAGCATTAACTTTTGCATGGTGGACAAGACTTGTAGCAGAATGGTTTACAATTATGACTGCAAGGCATCCAGAAAAGGCATCACTATCAAAAATCAAGATGAGATATTTAACATTTTATTAAAATTCATTCATGTGACTGAAACTGTACAGTTTGGGAAAGCATTGGAAGCCATTTCAAACTGGCATTGAGCATATTGAGTATTGTGAAACTCTCAAAAGAATTACTTTCAGAGGAGTTTACATTTTTCTTACCAGGCAGGTTGACACAAGGTGCACAGGAAAATGCTTTTCACAGATTAAACGAAAGTCGGGTGCAAAGCCTACTACTTTGCAAGCCAATAGAGCACTGAAGTTAGTGTGCCTATCATAGTTCATTTCAGATATCAATAATCGAAATTATTCTTCTGAAAGTGACCACAGCCTCTTTGATGCTTCTGAATAGAGGTTTGTATCAGAAAGAGTCTTGCTCCTATCTCCATACTGTAGTGCCATCTACCTCTTCATGAGGGCAGGAACGTCGCTTGCCCCAGCTGTGGAAGAAAAAATATTAATTACATCGAGGAGCCATATATAATAGTTGTTGGAAAAAAAAGCATATGTAAAATTGTAAACAGCTTGACATTTTCGAGCACGCTGGACCTGACATACCCGAGATCGCAAATTCTTACAAAACATAGCAAAACGGTTACGAAGGTCATCTTCAGGGATGTATCAAATACGTAGGGAGCTGAACGGAATTCAAAACTTAAGATGTACTCCTTCGTTTACAATCAGCCATCACAAAAGAATTAATTGAAAGAATTATTGATAAATGTACGCATGTGGCCATGCCAGAATGCTGTAATCTTAAGCAAATATTTATTGATAATTTTTTATTACTAGATGCAAAGGCCTTACACAGCATTTTATCAACAAAAGAGCACAGAACGTTTCATATTCATCAGCATCAGCCAATAAGAAACAAAAAGTAAAATAAAATAATTTATGTGTTTTTTGTAATATGTATTACTTGTTCCTAGGCTACGGGTATATAAATTTCTGTGTTTGATGTTATATATGTTACTTTCTCCTGGGTTATGAGTATATTATTATGGTATTATTTTCTTGTTTCTAATATATAGAAACATAGCATATTTTCCAGTATAAAATTTCAGTTAAGTTTTACTTAAAATATGGAAGCAGATGTTTCATGCATGATCTTATACTACTGGTATGAATAATGAATTTAATCTGTAAACAATGTTTGTTAATTTGAAAGGTTTCTTGGATACATTTTAGGCACTGTGGATCATGTCACAAATGCATAGAGAAAAGAGTCGTGTGCAGAAATTTTCCCATTGTGTTACTCATTTATTAATTTCAAGAATAATTCTTTTCATGTTTAATGGATGTTATCAGTATAAGCTAGTGAAAATAAATGGTAGGTATCTGTTTTGGAGTGTAATGCAATAAAAAGACATGTGTGTGCATCCCTGAAATTTTAAACAAATTTCAAGGCTAGTATTTTTAGCGTTGTACTGTTGTTATTTATCATGTGTAAAGGGTCAAAGGATAAAAATGTTGGTACATCTGTTTTTAGCATGATACTATTATTTATTCTTTAGTGATGATATATAAGAGAGAAGGTCTTTGGTCCAATGAAGTTTATAATCAATTTTATAGACTCTTTCTCCCCCAGGTGTAGAAATTTTCAAAGCAGAAAGTTTTTGCAATTAATTCATCTGGATAATAATTATCATTAATTTTTAAAACATTATTAAGTACATTTGACTAGGTGTAATAAACTTGTATTTAGGAAAAAATAACTATTTTGCAGCTGGGACTATATCATATGTTCTAAGATAGTACTTTTACTTTTCAATAACTTTGTATTCGAACTGAAATGTTATTTGATATATAAATAATAAAAGTGTGTATCTGAATCAATTTGGATAAAATATTTTACAGTTTTTTGAATATGCTTCTAATAATTCATAGTATGTAAATAAGGTAAAATTTGGTGAGAATTCAATTAGGGTTTTGAAATATAGGAATCATAGACTAATGTTTTATTGTCATGATTGCCTGGGCTTAGACGTAATTTTCGCCGGTGGAATTGTCATCAACTGTCCTGAAAGGTTTTTGTTGATAATAACGTCCAGGCTTATAGTACCTCTTTTGAGTGGAGGTTACAAATATAGTACCATTTAATTACTTGTGATTGTAAATATGTGTATAATAAGTGATTACAATTACAATTTAGAATGCATTGTATTAATTACAGTATCTGGGACTCCTACTTCATACTTATGTTGTAGGCCTAGCTAATTCAATAATATAATCTATTACAAACAAAATATTATAATGCAGTTACATCTTAAATAGAGCATTTAAACTTTTAAATTTTCGAGATAACTTCCATTAGGTTTTGGGGAAACTATGCAATACTAAAAACGAAACCTAAATTACATATTGTCATATTCTTGTTATAATGCTGTTCAATGTATTTCAATTTTGTAATTTAACGACATTTTTGCAAGCACTGTGTGCTTTAAAAGAATTTCTAGTTATGTTTCTAATAATATGGGAAAAATTAAGTATTATGTTAATACTAGCATTAAAAACCGGATGCATGAAAATGCTGTTGCTTGTAAAAAAAAAAACTTTCTTTATGCTTGAAGATTACTGGGTTAAGTTGTACTTTCAATTTAAGAATTGTTAACCACATTTTAATGGACAGTTTTATCTAAATTATTAGTATAAATATAAACAGAATATTTTGTACATACTCAAATACAAATTTTTCTTATAGTTAATTATTATCTTTATGGAATAAATGTTTTTTAATTAGGTAAAAATTGCATTTTTAGAAATATACAAATATAACGCAACACAAAGGTGATCTGATTGGAGGGAAGACTTTTTATTACGGTTTCTAGTTTCTATCAATTTACATTGGTGAAAAGTCCAACACAGAATGCGTACTTTCTTCTTCCAATTGTTATAATATTCACACTTTAAGAAAGTGTTTATTCAGGTCTGGCAAATTATTTCCATATACCTCAGCTAAATGCCGCATTTTTAAGTAGTTTTAGTATGAATTAACAGTGTTTTTATGGAAATTTTTTTTAAAATGTATAAAAATTTATGCCCCTCTACGCTTTAAACTATTTCCCCTTGACCTATTGAAAGTTTTTACAATCTAGTATTTTGTCTGCTACAAAACTGAAAATCTAAGAATAAGTTATTTGAATGTTTACAAAATATACCGAAATTTTTATTTAAGTGATGAGTCTATATACATGTGAGAATTAAAAATATCCGAAAAGTTTATGCGCAGAATGCCGCGCGTCTATAACTTAATCTTTAAAAACAGCAGACATTCAGCCAGGTGTGCGATAAAGCCCAAAATGGTAGCGCGTTTCTCCTCGCCAAGAGAGAAAAGTTGGTGATTCAGCCTGGTTTAGAGGAGCCTTATCCATAAGGATCGAGACAATGACACGAGACTCGCTCTTTGTCGAGTAGATCGGAAAAAAACGACCGGTTCTTCCATCTCGACGGTGGCTGGATCGTCGAGATGGAAGCCCAAAATGTGGGCTTCATTTTCGCAGTAGACTATTTTTATCTCCAAACTTTTTTTATGGCAAAGAAGGATTAGCATAGAAATGAAGGAATAACTCGAAAAATGTAAGAGATAAATAATATTTAGAAAACACGCCTGCTAAATGATAACATGTTCAAATCAGCGGATAAGGTTCGGAGAACAGCCTTAACGCCAAAACGGCCTTAAGCCAAGTTGGCACAACCAAGGCTGTTCTCCGAACCTTGTCCAAATCAGCGATAAGCTTGAAAAGAAAATATAAACTGATCGACTGAAGAAGACAACCGAACTCCGGTAACAGTAAGAGACGCAAATATTTTTTTGTTCGCTCGGCATTTGTAGTGTAGCTACTCATGGCGTATGGTTCGTCCACGTGGGAAGTAATGTTTTTATGTTGCCGGAAAAAACATCGTTTTGTAGCAAAATTTTGCATATCATAGTACAAAAGTGAAAACAGGAGATTGTTGAAGACATATCTAAGAAAGAGTCAATTTGTTAAGGTTGGTAAATTATTTTTTCTCATTTTGTTTTGAGAGCACTTTGTTGATTTTTAAACCCACCATATTGTAGTTATTAGATGCGACGTACGCTGCTTAGTTTAAACATTCCCTCAAAAATCAGCTGTAATTGTAAAGGTATTAAATAATTGTTGTGTCACATTATAAACACTTCTGATGTGTTAATTAGTTTTAGAAATAGAAACCTGTACAAGAATTACAGGGCAATTGTACTTTGTTTATCTAGAAAATTCGTTAGCATTTCATTGAATTAGAGTGTAAACATTTGTTTTTACGTTTGCATTTGGTGTTTCAAATGAGTAATAGTGTTAGTATTTTGATCGACTGTTCTCCTATGACCAAGTGTAGCGCGTAATTTTGTTTAAGATGTGTATATATCTAGAAATATTTATATATTCATGTAGCACGCTGAGTTTCTTGACTTGAACTTCATTGTACAGTTTGTTTATTCCTGCTTACCATGATTTATGTTTTAACATTTTGTGTAGTATATTAGTGCTAAATTTAAGGCCTTTGTCTAATTTTCAAAAAAAAAAAAAAAATAATTATGTACAGCGTATGTTTCATTAAAAATATTTTAACTCTATTGCAGACATTTTTTTAGGTTAATAAATGTATTTTATTTCATGTATGAAGCTTTCAGAAACTTAAAAAAAATTTTATAATTCTGTGTCAGGCCTGTCTATTTTTATATTTCATAAACTAAAAAAGATAATTTTTTAACTAAAAATTTTATGCTTGACTTTTGCTTAAATTTCATAATGTGTTCTCTGTTTTTGAAATTATTTTAAATATCTTTTAATCTAAAACTCCATATGGCAGATATCATTGTGCTAGAGGTGAAAGAAGCTTGCGAACTAAAATTTGAAAAGACATAATTCAGACTTTGATAAGATAGAATTTTGCTTAGATATAAGCAATAGACATATAGAAATATGATATATAGTTTAATATAAAGTTTAGCTATTGACTGCAATCATAGTTATTTTATGTATTTTATTTCTAGTGAATAGATAAATTAATTTGCAGATTTAGTGTGTATATAATTTTCTGAAAAACCTGTCTGGAAAATTTAAGGTAACATAGAAATTAATTATTAAACATAGCATTGGATTATTTTTACATATCCTTAAAATAATAGATTTCTTTGAGATAAAATTATGGTTTATTAATAAATGTGAATAATAATGAGATTATGTTAGAGAAAACGCTGATTTAAAAACTGTATTTAACACTTGCTTTTAAATTAAACATATCAGATGTTTCCTGTTATGTTAATGTTAATAAAAGATATGATTTTTGAAATCTTGTTGTATTATAAATTATTTAAATTAAAAAAAACTCATATGCAGTTCCAATCTAAAGTAAGTTTATTATGTCTTAAAATTTTTTGTAGGTCTTTAAATAAATTTATTTTTAAATTGCTGTATTCCTTTGTAATGTAATGCTTTCTCTACATGTAATTTTTTAGTGTAGTCAAAAGTATTTTGAGTTGAGTGAATTGATAATTTCTAGATTCAAAAATGTTATTTAGTTCAGAAATTACTTCAAGGACTATATAGTAGTAATTTGAATCAAAAGGAATACATTTCTCAGTAACTATGTGTTAAAGCAGCCACCACATCTAGTCATCAAAATTGGCAAATTTAATCACTAATCTACAGAGTATTAATTTTAGATATTACTGAAATGTTATATGATTACCATTTTAACAAGGAACTATCCATTTCTTATTTGTAATCTATGGGTTTTATTGACATATTTAGAAAATTTTGTCCAAATTACCTGAACAGTGTTTTATTATATGAAGTACTATAGTAAAAATTTATGGATTAACTTTTTTTGTTACATATTGTATGAATCTTTAATATTTTATAAACTTTCATGAACAGGAAGCCTGACTTTGTGACTTTTGTGGCACATAAATTTATAATCAGAAATCTTAAAAAGAATTTATGAAACTGTTTTGTTCACTCTGAATTGCTGCTTTGAATGGAAATTAAAAACTGTGGTAAAAGGTTGTAAAAATAAAATTGTAGTAGATGAAACGTGTTATCTGTTTATGGTTAGAGTTGGACTAAAGGGTATCTCTTGTCTTATCGCCAAGTTGCTGTTTCATTTATGGTAATTTGAGTAGTTGAATGTTCCATAAATGCACTTTTACCTAGAATTGGGTGCTCCTTTGACTTTTTAAGTGAAAATATATTGTTGTGTACATGGACAAAGTCAATGGAGTGCGCAGTGCCAAGTTTCTGCACTTCAGTGGTATTTTTTTAAGTGAAAAAGGTCGATGTGTACATGGATAAACTCAAGGGAGTACACAATGCCTAGTTTGTGCAATTCTGCGATTTAAGTGAAAGTAGGTCAATGTGTACGTGGATACTGAGTTTGTGCACTTCTTTGACTTGATTAGTTTGGCTTTAAAGACAAAATAACAAGTCAAAGAATTGCACAAACTCGGTATCCATGTATCGCCAATTTTCGCCAGGGGTACCCGTAAATATAATTTTACCCTGTTTATATTTGTTAAAATGAAATAGTTAAGTTACGTTTTTCCATAAAGTTAGTTCATGGCTGAGTTGTTAATAGTGAAATAATAGTTCGTTGTATGTAATGGTTTAGCAGCAAAATTAGTCAAAAAATTAGGCCTGGCATAATTTTTGAATTTTATGATCTACTGAGCAACAGAATTTAAAGATGTACAGAGATTTCCCCGAGTGCCTAATGTCTTGTGTGCCGTGCGAGTTGAAAAATTAAAATTTAATCATAATTGTGGTAATTATTCAAAATATGAATAGCATTGCTATATAATGCCATTCGATGCAAAACAGGTTTCTAAAAATTGTAAGATTTTTAATTGTCTTCTATCTAAAGGGCTTTTAGCATAAAAAAAGCATTTTGTTTAAAAGTTGCTCTTCTTTTGCTGATTTTCTGATTTGTAAAAAATGTCAGTTTTATATGTAAAAACATGCAAATATTACTAAATATGATTGTCAGAGCCTCTATTTGTGTTTTAACTAATGACATCTATTTGAGGGATTAAATATAGTATTTTTACAGTTGGAAGTTTTGTAATTAACTTTCAGTAATTTCTTTTTTTAATATTAATTTTAATCAAAATAGTAATTTTAAATAAAGCATGTTTGTTTAGTTCGTAATACTAAATATCTCATTTAGAATTAATGTAAAATAAGTGTGTAAAATATGCTGTTAGTTAAGTTATATTGTAAATCATCCATATTATAAGTGTTAAATTTACAGTTTTTTGTGTGTAAATTTTAGAATGTTTACATGACACATAGTTTTGAAAAAATTCTCATTGAATCTAACTTTTTTAATAGATTTGCATTGCAAATAATAGCTTCTGTGACATCTGTGCAAGGAGAGAAGAAACAACCAGCAGCGAGTGGGTGGCCGGATTACATGGCCGGTTACACCTCGCGGATTTTCCTCAGTTTGACTATCCCCTCATTTTTTGGTTTTTTAAGTGTTCTTTGGTTTTTAAAAAGAAAACGTTCTATCACTGAGAGAAGCAACAAAGCCATTCAAGTAGAAGATAACACTGTACCGAGTCAAGGAGATCAGTATCAGTTTTTGAATCCCATGAAACTAAAAAACGAAGAGGGAATTCCCGAAGAAGAAAATATTAGCTGTTCTGAGATGCAACTGAAAGAAGCACCCACTGCACCAGAAAAGCAGTCTCAACATTCTAATGGTGTATCATCACAGCAGCATTCTAAAGTTAAGGGGAAGAAAAAAAGCAAGTCTAAAGTTCGTGAGAATGGAAGCATCTGCCTGTCTGGTGATCACATAACCAATGGTTGTGGAAAAGATATTTCATCTCTCACAGCTGAAGATAGCAGCTTAAAATTAACCAATGGAATACAAGCTCTCAGCCTCAATGAAGGAGTTTCAGACAAGGATGAAGTTGTTGCCCATGTCACCGACAAAGCTTCCTCCAAGATGGAGAACAGTAATGGATTATCAGTCTTGCCAAATGGTGCAGAAAAGGACTCAGATTCTTGTTTTAAATCAAGTACTCTTATGACGTCTTCAAATGGTGAAACAGAAAAGGACTGTCAGACTAATGATGATAAATCTTCCTGTCAGGAAAATTGTATTCAGTCTGTCAAAGAGCAAAATGATAAAGATGCTATGCAAAATTCTGTTGATACAAACTCTTTAACTATTGAGCAGCAAGTTGTGCAAAATGATTTGGGAAATGATACATCACTTGCTGAAAATATGTCCACGGACACTAGTGAACCTTTGATATTGCCTGTTGATTGTCCTGCTGCAGAAATACAAGGAGACATGCTTGAAAGTCCAGGAGCAAAATATTGCGACAGTGTGGTAAGTTTTGCAAACTTTTATTTTTTGTGGGAATTTAATTTTTGTAAAATGGTTTATTTAAGTGTAATTTTCTTGTAAACTAAAAATTCTCCTTAAGATTCTGCTTTTAGCAGTCAGATTACATTATATATATATATAAACGAAATAATACATAAGTGGTAATTTAGTGTAAAATTAGGACAGATGAAGTTCTTAAAAATGGAGACGAATAGTACTTGTCATAAAACTTAAGTTGTATTAGAATTGGTATGAAAATTCATGCTAAAGATAGTTGTAGATTTAATTGTATCATGTAATTTTCCTTTTTTCTTCTTTTCGTAATAATTTATGAAATTGAGGAATCTTAATGTAGTGGTTCTTGAATAATAATTAAATTTGTATTTGCTTAGTTTTTCTTTGAAAAAAAATTTTAAGGAGTCTGTCTGATTTTGTAAGTCAAATGTAATCTTTTGACCATCACTTGCACAATTCTAAATGGTATTCTTAAAAATATCTAAATTTGTCCGGCAGAGTTATTAGGTAAGAGATCTCAGCCGTAATGGATAAACTGAGAACCTGATTGTTATCTTCTCTGTGTGGGTCCCTTGCATCCTATTTGTCAAATATATTAGTCCAGATAACACATGCATATTTGTGTAGATGATCAAGTCTCTTGTAGGTTGTAGGTAATTTTTTTGTTCTAAATGACACATTTATTTGGTAATGTTTTATGTGAGAATGGTAAAAATTTAGAAGTGCATGATGGTGTGTAGAAAATTCAAGTTTCAAAATTGATTGATCTTTTAAATTTTAAAATTGGACATAAAGCAGCCTTAGTGCATATTTTATATAAAATTTTATCGGTTGTAAGAGTAACTGATATCGATGCACTCTTTTCAGGAAGGGGGGGGGATGCTGTTGACAAAAAGGGATCTTAATCTCATCTGTGAAATATCAAATATTTTATATAAAATCTCTGTTAATGTAAGATATACTTTTTCCTGAGTTTATGGTGCCATGTCTTGTGTTTAAAATTTTCAAAAAGGGTCCAGTTATTGGGTAAATTTTTAAGTTTATGAAATATCAGTAATTTATTTTGCTCCATCCTGGTATCTAATGTTTTTTCTCTCTATTATATAGCTTGACTGCCTCATCCGCGACCATGAGCGCAAACATGCATGTGCTATTCGGACCAAATTATTCTCAAAATAGGGTGGAAAGATGGGGACTTTCTTTCCGTTGAGCATATAAATTTTATCTTTCCGGAGAAAAGAAGATATTCATGTGACCTTTTACCTCACAAGAAATAATAATGCCCCTTTTGGATGAGTCTATGTATTTTGGCAGAATGCCAGCCATGGTTGCGTTTCAGACGGTCAAACTAAGCATAAATGAGAGACAATTTCCCTTAGAGGGTTCATGAAAATTTCTCTTTTAGCAAATAATTCTTGAATGCTGCTTACTGTTATAATCTGTTTCTAATACAGTAAGGATAATTTAGAATTTGGGATGTGCCTATTTGTATGCTTTTAACCTAAATTTAATTTTTTGCCATCTGCGTTTGCTCATTTAAATTCTAAAAATAAGAAGTATAGCATTCTTTCTTATGATTTTCATTTATGTAATGCGTACAAGATTTTTTGATAGATTATACAAGATAGAATTTTTTAGGGTTAATTTGTTGCTCTAGTGTTTTCCATAATTAAAAGTATTGAAATGTTTTGCTTCCAGTAAATATTTTGGTGAGCTAGACCAGCAATAAAAAGAATGTATTCTTCTGGAAATTAAATTAGGATAATCAGGCAAAATAATCAGTATTTATTAGTTTGTGACGTGGTTGCTAAGAAACATTTTTCAGCATAGATGGAAGGAAGTGCAAAATTTAGTGCCTAAACTGTTAAAAATCTGGATAATTTTGTTACTCTATTGTAAAGTTAAGTCTGTAATACTAAATTTGATCCTGAAAATCATGATATAAGCATTTAAAGATAATGCTGCTAAAGTTTTTAAATCGAACATTTCTTTTTAGTTTTTATTATAAGTTGGAATTTTTAAAATTTTTGAAAAGTTGCGGAAATAACTTTTTAAATAAAAAAGATTAGGTAAAATGGCAAGGTATTTGTATTATGTTTTTCCCAGTAAGAGCTAAAATCATTCAGTAAATCATAAATTGGCATGTTATGTTTGAAAATAGTGCTTAGCACTTTTCATGAATGTTAACATTAAGAACCACCCTAGCTCATGTTATTAATTTTGTTAAAAAGTATCAGTTGCTTATTCATAGTTCAGTTCAAAAATGCTTTGATGGGACGCTTGACTATAGAAGAGCAGCCTGACTCGGAGCTTAAATTGCACCGGAGCCCGGCTCCGGTACTTCTTAGTTTTTAAGATAAATCATAATGCTAGGCGGAGCGCACGGGAGCCCTAAATATGAAGGCGCTGGCACTTCTTTTATGTAACTGAATAACAATTTTAGTAGAAATTTGATCTCAAAAATTTTCTTTTTTACAATAAAATTCTATTAAAAATCGCTTATTAAATTTTAGTTTTATCTCTTTACTTTTTATTTTAATTATTTAATTACCTTAATCTTTAATTATTTTATTAGTCATTTTATTTATTTACTTTTGTTCCTCCCTGTTGACAGTCTTGCGTAGGGCTCTGGCACTTCTAATTTGAGAAATTAAGCCCTGGCCTGACTTACATTATCCCCTTTTTTTGGAGGATGAGCAGAAGGATTTTGTAGTAAAGATATTCATAAAGGAATGTTTCTGTTTATGGAAAATAGTGTTTTTAATGTAAAACCATGTATAAGTGGGTCAGATTTTTTATGGGCCCTGCAAAGTTTATAATAAAAACCAAATTGGCCATTCTGTTCAGATTAAAGCAGACTCAACAGCACAGAGGTTGGGAGGAAATTGAGATTGAGAAATTTACTGTACACTATAGCAAAAACAGTACCTTTTCGGTCTGCTAAAAAAGTCTTAGAGCTATCTTTAGAAAAGTAAGACAGAGGCTTTGCACATGATGACAATGTTGAAAACCTTATGTGGCTAAGCAATCCAGAGAATTTTATGAAGCTGGTATTAGAGGACTGATAAAACATGGGGCAAGTGTTTAATAAATTAAAAGATTATATTGAGAAATAAATTTTTATGCGAGTATTTTGTTAGGATATTTTGTAATTGCTTCCTTTTTTCCCCTAAAAAAAGGCTTAAATTTATTTTCCTTGCAGTAGCATCTTGTCACAAAACTCAGAATGTCATAGCTTTAGTTCAGAAGACTTATGTCAACATGTTATCTTTTTACAGTCATTTGATTTTATTAAAAAAAATTAAATTGCAAAGAGATTTGGGTTGATCTTTACATTATGGTAACGTGGCGATTTTTTTGGCGAAAATTTGGCAACCAACTCTCCTACAGCAACCCTCTATTTTTTTTCCCCGCCGCCATTTTGTCTTCACGAAGTAAAGACATGTTTCTTTTCTTTTTATCTACTGAACACTTCTTCCAACAATCTACTAGCCGAATTACACTTATGCTAGAAATTTTATCAAACAAAACTGCTTAATCATGACAAATATTCACTGCAAAATTGGGAAAAAGTGAACAATACCATACTCCTTACGTGTTTTTCAAAATAACACATGCACATAAACCATGTACACGCCGACTTATTTTTACTTAAAAAAACATCCCAGAATTGCACAAAAATGGCATTGCACACACTCTTCACTATATCCATGTACACTGCTTTTTTCTCATAAATTAGAAAAATTTCACGAAAATACATGACAATTTTCTCAATCTTTAAACCCGGTAAAAAGTATTTACCCTTTACAAATATGAACATTTCCACATATAAAATAAATAAAATATCCAAAAAAATTTTTACCTCTAAATCATCTATTACATTATAACGTCACCAACGAATTCATACCGCAAGCATTACAAATACTTAGTATAAATATTTAAATTATTTCCATGCACGTTTATTTCAACTTAAACGTATAACCAAATTCCTACAAACATAAAATTCACAAAATAACTATCATTTAATTAAATATCACTAAACCATGTACACGTCGACTTATTTTACTTAAAAAAAACTCCCAGAATTGCACAAAAATGGCATTGCGCACACTCTCTTCACTATATCCATTACACTGCTTTTTTTCTCATAAATTAGAAAAATTTCACGAAAATACATGACAATTTTCTCAATCTTTAAACCCGGTAAAAAGAACATATATGAAATTACGTGATCGCAAAAAAAGTATTTACCCTTTCCAATATGAACATTTTACATATAAATAAATAAAATATCCAAAAACTTTTACCTCTAAAAATCATCTATTATATTATAACGTCACCAACGAATTCATATCGCAACCATTACAAATACTTAGTGTCAGATATTAAATTATTTCCATGCACGTTTACTTCAACTAAAATGTATACCAAATTCCTACAAACATAAAATTCACAAAATAACTATCATTTCATTAAATATAATTAAATTCAAAAACACTACTTGAAATATAAATGAGCACATACATTAAATTAATAAAAATTACCTTACAATCCTAATTACTTTAAACTAAATCATTGCTAATAACAATTTTCCCAATAATACCAAATTCCTTTCCACCTTACATTTAGAACAATGCAATAAAATAATATCCTCAAATAATTAAAAATACTAACTTACCTAATCTTCTTCAGAATCTTGATTACGTGGCGGATACACTTTTCTAATTTCATTCAATAAAATTATTGAAAGATTTTTCTCTGCGAATTTTTCCTCCCTACTTCCTCCGCTAAATAAAAAGCAAACTTCTCTTTATATCACAATGCCTAAATACCCATTTCGAATTCACTTTAGTTAGGGCCATGGGATCCAAAAATTAAAACAACACTGTTTCACACAACACACTATGAAGCTAAATACAAAATGCTAAACGCAATACAAAATTTCCACATTTTTTTCCTGATTTCCCCCCTTTTTCCGATTAAAGAAC